AAATCTGTCACGCTTACCTGATGTGGAGCTGTATGTGACTCCAGACCCAGAGCAATGTGGATGACTCTTAACTTACCTCTTAAATGTTCAAGAACAATTAGGGACAGGTAACAAATGCGGGTCTTGCTAGCGATAGGGTTGAACCCATTGAACACAGAAAAAATTATTTTTCAACTTCTGGTTACTTTGACATGAAAGCTGTTGAATATACAAATTTCTTTAGTTTGGCCACCCTGAATGTGAACCATTTCTCTGCTTGCTTCACATTAACGTTGGTGGAACCTTGCACCTGACCTTGAATGTTTCGAGGAGATCCTGTCAGATCAGGTTCCGTGAAATTTTTCATTTCAACTTTAGTCTGGTGGACGTCTGGATGTGACAGAACCCAATAACCAGGCTTTCCTATGACTTGATATGAAATATGATTTGATCTTTCAGGCTCAAGATGAATCATGGTCTGTATGGTCTAATGAAAGTTGCTTCAATCTCAACTGGAGAGTTTCCTCAGTTGCTGGAGATTGTCTAGAGACGAGAGAGAAAGACGAGAGATCATCAGCTTAGAACATTAACTCTTGTTTTTTCTCCATAGATGCTGCCTGACCTGATGTGTACTTCCCATAATTCCTGTGTTTTTAAAAAAAATTTCTGATTCCCAGCAGGTGCAGTGCATTTCCTTTCATTCTCCCACTTAAGGATTTTTCTGGGCAAAAATCTTTTCAAACAAGATAAGATATAATCTTCTACAGGATGCATTGCAAAGATTCACCAAGACTCCTTAGAAGGTGCCTTCCAAACCACTGCCATCTTGAAGTACAAGGGCAGCAGATACATGGGAGCAGGACCACCCTCAAGCATACCTCCAAGCCACTCACCATCCTGACTTGGAAATATATCGCCATTCTTTCAATGTCTTTAGATGTCTCAAAACCTTGGATCGCACTCCCTAACTACATTGTGGGTCGACCTACACCAAATGGCCTGCAGCTGTTCAAGCTGATAGCTCATCACCCCCTTCTCAAATGCAGCTAGGGACGGGCAACAAATACTGGTTCAGCCAGCGCCACCCACATCCCCATGTGTGAATAAAAATACCCCTCTAGGTTTACTGTTTCTGACTCCATGGCATCTGCACCAGGAGGGGAGAGAACATTGCTTTTGTCTCAGTGTTCTGCTTTCTGTTTCCAGGTTCTTGTGCAGTTGCTGCAGCTAATGAATTTTCTCAAGACCATGAATAAAGCTGACATTAAAATCCCTGCACTGATCCCTGCATTCACCGTGCGTATGGCAATCATACCTGAGGATGTTGGAGGAATCAGTGTCCAGCTTTTTGAAGTGTTTCAGTCCAGTGTGTTAGTCAAAGTGAAGGCAGTGAGCTGTTCCTGGAATGTTGAATGCCTGTTGTAATTTATTGCACTGCAGCACTGCCAGTGGGGAAAATATGTGCATCTACATGTTATGAATTGGGAGGAGATCATAAACGCTGACACTTTCAATTGCTTACATAGAGAAGTTTACTTAGTTTGTGTTATTTATTGTGTTTGAATTAGTATTATAGACTCTGACATTACTTTTGTCTTGTGTTAGTACAATGCTTTTCCTTTCCTTTTTGATAATTACTCCCGTGATGATACTATGGCTTTAAGAGGTGTACTCTGTCCGTTTTTTTTCATGAAGTAGGGTTGAGACAGCGGGAGTGAGCAATATGCACAAAGCCAACAAAGTAAACAGCTTATGAGGCCTTGGTATCTTTTAAAATGTTGAAACAATAGAAGTAGCCTGAATAGGTGGGGTCAAGCTCCCACAAAACCAAGATTTTTAGTTTTAGCTTTCAACAGTTGCTGTGGTCTTGAAACTGGAGGTGGAAGCTCTTATTCCTCTCTCTGTCACAGCTAAAAGCTGGGGTTCTCTTCCTGCTGCTAGAATTACATGTGAGACAATCTGTTTTACTAAATTTGCCTTTGCCAAGGCTGTAATTATGGGATGTTACTATATTGGAACAGTTAATTAGTCATAGTTAATACATATTACTTTGTTAAGCATTTCGATGCAGTTACAGATAAGCCAATTCTTTTTTATTTTTATTTTGTCAATATTTTAACTGGAGTGTTAAAGTTGATTAGTTTGATCAATGAAATTGCATCTGGAACACAATGCCTTACACTTACCTTTAAAGTAAGAAAAAGTTAGAGTCTAGGCTAATTTCTTAATATATTTTGAGGGAGTTTGATCTGGTCCATAACACTCCATATGGTTACTTTTTTGGAAAATGCTTTAGACAAGTCTTCCCCTCTCACCCTCACAGGTTCCTGCTCCTTATACAGTGAGCAATTTTGGAGTCTGAGGCATAACTATTACTGGCTGCTTTAATCCTTTCAATCTTTTTCTCAGGAAATACTAGAACCCTTATTGTGCACTGTGTGTGGAATTCTAGTACTTCCTGAGAAAAAGATTGAAAGGATTAAAGCAGCCAGTGAGTCTACTGGCGGAAACTGGTGCCTTTGAATTGCATATTGCAAATTATTATGTTAAGGTAAAACTAGTTAGTAAGATTATAATATTCATCATTGAAATATTATTGCTTGTGGCCCACCATTTTAGTTCCGTTAGAATATTTTATGCTTTCATACTTGAACCCACAATGTGTGAAAATTTGATGAACCCTTAATATCTAAGACTGTGAGACATTCGCAGGTACCTTCACTTTCAGAGGCTCTTGCTCAATGGGAGATGAAGACTCTCCAGTGTTAAGTATATGCAAGGATTATTTTTAACTTGAAAATAGACTGGAGGCCATTTTCTAGATGTTGTTTAACTGCAACTGTGGGCACTTAGGTATTTATACCATTGCAACACCGAGTTTTGTGCAAAAATGACTGAATAATTGAGCTGACTGTATTGAATTGCGCAAAGTGGGGTGTGATCACGGAGAAGTTAGTCTCACATTATTCAATCATCACAGAAAAGTATATTCAACATTTTAGAAGACGGCCAGATTACAGAGGGTACAGTACTTTGTTCTGAAATCATCTCAAAGTGGTAAGCTACTGTTAAATTGTGCACTGTGTGTGGAATTCTAGTACTTCCTGAGAAAAAGATTGAAAGGATTAAAGCAGCTCAGAGTGAACTGCCCTTCAAACCCATTTTCAATGATTTGAAATGTGACGTTCATTAATTGCAGTAAAATTGACCTGTATTGTTAAGTAATAAAAAGTGTTTATAGACTCATAGATATTTCCAGCGCAGAATTTTGTAGCAAGCTTAAATACTGATAATATTGAATCCTGAAATATTGAATACTTAAATACTGAAAATAGTCAGACAATCTTAAATACTGAAATTCTTAAACTCTGATTGAACTGCTGATTAAATCAACTGTTTCTTCACATGTAACTGTAAATAATTCCCTTGTCCAATGGAAATAATGAGTAGTCATTTTAGTAGTCGACGTCTCTTAACAGGGAAGTGACGCCATCAGGCACAAGTTCAATAATGATTTGGATTGATAAGGAAATTAGTGTTTATATGATAAGGGAATTTTGACAGAAAAATAATTGTGATCTGTATCAATGATTTACAAAGCTTTTTTTTGCTATTAAAGACGAGTTCTATTATGATCAACAAGTATAAAGTTGCAGCAAGAGGCTGATTTTCATTATTCAGAACAAACATTTCATGCGGCAGGTTTTGGCCTTTCGGTGGACTGAACCATGTATTGACATGACAGACCTTGTTCATTGAAAATATTTTGCAGGCATTTTTGTTTGTGCTATTTCTGACCCGTGTTTATGAGATGACTATTGTAAAATCTTGTCCCATTTCAAAGCATCATTCAATGCTGGAATATCCTGACCATGCTAACATTAGATTTGCTGGTGTATATTTGAGGAACTATGTATGGATGCAACTTAGCACTTGATTAGTAATGAAGGTACAGGAGCAATGATGAATGTGCATATTGTTTGTTATTGTGAAATGTATGTTTTTGCTGTGACAAAACCATTTTAATCAATTAAATATGTGCTCCTTGTTAGTGTGTATTTTTACTCTTGCTCCCTTTACTTTCAACAGAAAAGTTGCACTTCCCACTTCTTATCTTGCAGAGCGTGCAGCACAGAAACTGATAATTATGCTACACCTGTCATGAAAGTAGAGTGGAGATCTGGGTACCCTCACCTATGCAATTCTGATACCATCAAACTTCCATGATATTTTACTTCTGGGATTGATTGGCTGGAACATTGCATTGAGTTGTACCATTACCTCTTACTGTACAGTTCAAATCTCTTTTAACAGATGGGTCCCTTCACTCAGGAGGATCTTTTGGTTCCTTCTATCCAACAGCCACAACATGTCCTCGACAGAATTTCAGATTTTCTCTTGTGGACTGTTTGGCAAGGAATTAATATTTAAATTCCACCTAGATTCTGCTCTCTTTGCGCATTAAAGTCCCTTCAATGCCAGGAATAACCTTTCAAGAGCTGCTAATTTACCCAATTTTGCATTTCCTAACCAATTGCCTTATAGATCTGCCACCTTGCTCATGAGTTCCATGTGTAAAAGAAATTTATACTTCCCCCCAACCCCCTTCCATAATTGACTCGCCAAGCCATCTGTATTCTAGTCTCTGGACTATCCCTCTTAAATCTCTTGCTTCTTTTATCTTTTTTATTTTTGCCTTATTTTAAATCTATGTCTTATCAAACTTCTGGTCCTGTCCTAATTGGTTTTTGAAATCTGTATTCCTTACCTTGTGGTGAAATGACTTGAGACCATTCTTTACACCAAGGGTACTATGTAAATGCAAGTATTTGCTGCTGTTTTGAGAAATATTTGTTTGCCAATCATATGACTGTTCCCAACAAATCAATGAGCAAAATATCTGATTGAAGTTTCTTTTATTAGCATATATTTATATACATTGAATCTTGGGATATTTCAGTTCACAGTCAAACATATGCTGTTTGTTTATGCCTGCAATATTTAATAGTGCAATTGTACATGCAGCAACAAATTATTGCCCTGAGAATATCTCATTTTCTATTTTGTAAACAGATACTTTAATCATTAATCTCTCAGACTGCTGAAGTCACAGACCTTGTGGACCATTAACATGCATTTCTCATTTTACCGTTCAATATTTATTCTTATTCAACATTTGGCAATATTTGCAGCTAGCCTTTCTCTTGTTTAGCCAATAGCTGTTTCTTCACCTCTTGGCTTTCGCTGCTGGTTGAAGTTACTTTCTCAACTTTCCATTTTCTTTATTTTGGCCCCTTTTCTGCAGTGTCAGTTGATCCATTCCCCACAGTTTCCATTTTCTCAACAACTTCTTTTTCAGTCTTTTCTTTTGCTTCAGTGGTTTTTAATTCTTCGCCATTTCCTTTTACCTTGGCCACATCTTGTTTCTTACCCTCTACTTTTGGATCAGCAGCCTTTTCCTCTGTGGTCCCCTTTGGTTCAGCTGCTTCCTTTTCTACAGCCTCTTCTGATTTGGGAACTTCCTTCTCTTCATCCTTTCCCTTTTCTACAACTGGTTTCTCTTCAGCTTCTTGTGATTCAGCTTTTTTGATCTCTTCATCTTTTTTATCTTCAGCCTCTTTAGGTTGGACAGCTTCTTTTTCTCCAGTCTTTTCTTCTTTAGTCTTTTGTTCTTCCACCTTCTCTTCATCCTTTTCAGCCTCTTCTGATTTAGGAACCTCTTTCTCTTCATCCTTCTCCTCTTCATCTTTCTTTTCATCCTTTTCCTTTTCTAATTTAGGAACATCCTTCTCTTTATGTTTTTCCTCCTCTGATTTGGGAACTGCTTTCTCCTCTTCAGCCTCTTGTGAATCAGCAGCTTCCTTCTCTTTTTCCTCTTCCTTTTTCTCCTCTCCTACCTCTTGAGGTTCAGCAGCTTCCTTCTCCTCAGCTTTCTCTTCTTCCTTCTGCTCCTCTTCTGCTTTCTCCTCTTCCATCTTCTCTTCCTCCTTCTCCTCTTCTTCCACCTTCTCTTCCTCCTTCTCTTCCTCCTTCTTCTCCTCTTCTGCCTCTTGAGATTCAGCAGCTCCTTCCTCTTCAGCTTTATCTTCCTTCTTCTCTTCTTGCGCCTTCTCCTCTTCTGCCTTCTCCTCTTCCGCCTTCTCCTCTTCCACCTTCTCCTCTTCTGCCTCTTGAGGTTCAGCAGCCTCCACCTCTTCAGCTTCTTCCTCTTCCTTCTTCTCTTCTGCCTTCTCCTCTTCTACCTCTTGAGATTCAGCAGCCTCCCCCTCTTCTGCTTTCTCCTTCTCCTCCTCCTCTTCAGCCTCCTCTTTCTCTACAGCTTCTTCTTCCTTTTCAGGAGCTTCTAGCTCTGCCATATCAACTTCCTTGGTCGTTGCACTGATAATTTCTTCTACAAACCTATACTGAGGTATGACCTTTATAGGGGTGGCTTTAGTCTCAGTTATCACAGAGGTTGCACTCACTAAAGGTTGTGGTTTGTAGGTAAATGACAGGGAATCAAAACCACCAAATCTTGTTTCTTCACCTTCAAGGAGTTTCCTTCAAGTAGAATGTAAATAACATTAGTGCATTGTTAAAATACATAACATTTATACGTTAATGAATCAAGGGACCTGCAAAATTATTAAATCTATAATCATGAATTTATACTTGTATTTAAGATTAATATCAAATTCAGCTGAAATAAATCAGTTACTTGCTTTATTTAACCAACTGAATTACGATAGTTTCTATGTAATACTGTTAATGCAATAGGTCATCCTACTGCCCTTTCACCCTTGTGATATGGGATCACATCAATCTCACTGTTGGATTGTAGACTGCTTTTTCTGGCAGTTCGAAGGCTCCTAATTGAAATAAGGCCAGGAGGAATCTCATCACTGGCCATACAGAGGTGGTTTACGAGATGGCTGGGAGGGGTTAGAAGGGAGAAGGATGGGACAGCTCCCTGACACAATCCTACTTGCTGATGGCAAGGTCATACTGGATTGGCGACCCACCCAATAGTAGCAGTGGGCAGCTATTTAGTGGCAATTAAGTAGCCACTTGGGGGCATAGTTTTAGTGACACTGCCAGAATGGTCCCCAGGCGAGACTGAAGAGCAGTAACTGAAGCTCTCTGCAGCGGGCCCAGGAGCCAGAAAGGTCTCCTTTACTTTCTCTCCTCCAACCCGGAGCTGAGATGGCAGAAGGTCACGGTCAGGGGCATCCTGTTCCTCATGAGATCCTGGATGCTGTGGCCATACTCTTTCAAAGTCTTCAGAGGTTGCCTCTACCTGGAGGTGACATTATAAATAGTTGTCTCCAAGGAGGACCAAGCAGGAGAGTGGACCTTAGGTGCCACGAGGATTTGTCCCAACCCATGTTCACTCACTGTGACTAAAACTGGAAAAACTAATAACAAGATGCTACCAAAGCAATACGGAATTAAGAATGGTCTGTAAGAGGAAGAGAGCAGTTATGGAAGGCAGAGAAATGTTTCAAATGTTTTAGTGAAAAGAAGCATACTATTGCTTCATATATTCTGATCCAACACTTCATTTTTGATGCTGATGAATGTTTTTTTGTGTCCATTGAGGTAAAGGGTGTAAATTCAAGGGAATGGGCTTATTTGTCCAATTTGTCATCTCATGTTCGGATCAAGAAATTCTGGCTTAGTTCTCACTGTATTGACACATGGAATAATAAAGTTTCAAACATTTTTTCTAAATTGCTGTCCTGCTAAATTTACACTTTAACTGCACAGTGATTAAGTTTTCCTTCCACTGCACTCCTTTCAAAAGAGTGTATGTTTTTGTGGTTCACAAATGAGCCATTCTTAACGTCTCCAATATAGAAATTGCAAGTTATAGGTGATTCTGTACTGTGTGTTCCATATACTTGCTTGCAGTTAACAGAGAGAAGAACATCTAGTTTATTAATCTAGAATGAATTAGTCTAGTTCCCAGGAGTAACAGGACCGTGTGCTAATTCAATGCACCAACTAATATATAATCGGCTCCACTGCACAGCAAATCAGTTTCACAGGCATATCTTGTAGCATTGCTAGATTGTAAAATCGTATCAACCAGCAAAAGCTGTCAATACAAAGCAGTAGTATTTAAATGTCTTGTGTTTGCCACTCAATTTTCTAATCATTACACATTTGCTTTGTGAACTGTTGTTTAAAGTAAAATAGATTGAAATCCTGGGTTGGGAAATTTGACCCCAACTTGATCTGATTGACATGGGAGGTGCATATTGTTTTATTTCGCTTTGTCTCTAATTTAGATTAATGGATGAAACATCTGTCAGGCTCTGACCAGCTGTGCAATTCCCTGTCAGAATTTTCTTGTGCAGTATCCAGGCAATGATTTCAAACAAGGAACAGTAAGAGGCAAATCCACTCACAGATGTCCAGCAGGGCTGTTTCACCCGGAATGGAGGGGATCCTGATCTCAGTTGTGACAAACTGTATTTGACTGGTTGTCAGTGACTGACTCTCACACTAAATGCAGACACAACACATGAAAGGGGTTTCATCTAACTTCAGTTAAAATCCAGTCTAAATTCATACGTATATTGCAAGCACTGATCAAACTGATTTTCAAGCATTAGGTTGGAGGCGAGAAACCCAACCGATTCATTGAGATATTCCCCGTTCTGTTTGAGTGTGGATGTTGGTGATTCAAACTATAGTAGTTGGAGAAATATTTATGTTACATTGAGCTCCACAGAAATGCAAACCAAATTCACTTAGAACTCTCAAGAGGTTCTGACATGTTTCAAAGTATTAAATTGAATTAATCGTTATGTAATTAAAGTGTAAATCAAGATAGGGATGGAACTTTGTTTTCTTTTAAAGGAGCTAAATATTCTACTATAAGCATGCTGAATCGCTGTTATATGTTCACTCGACATCTGATGCTGTGATACCCCATTGCTTACTGAACGCAAAAAACTAATCTTGCAGAGACACATTCATTCTAGTAGCTAGTATAATTCTTAGCAAGGGTTTTATCCTGTTCGGCATCCTGAGTGTATTGCAGCAGATTCCCTGGTTACTGAGACTTGTGAAGATGCTGCCAGCTATAAGTAATTAAGAATTGCCTGTAAGAGGAAAATAGCGCACAAAAATCTCAAGTATGGAGGACAGAAAAGCAATAATAGTTGCCTCGTATAATTTATAATAGGAGTTACTGGGTTGTCACTATAGAACCATAGAGCAATGCAGCATAAACAGGATCCATTGGGCCCTTAAGCGTGTGACAGCTCTTTCAAAGAGCAATCCAGTTAGCTCCACTCTCCTGTGCTGTCTCATCCCTGCGAAGATTTCTCATTTAAGTATTCACCTAATTTTCTTTGGAAGGTTAGCATTGAATCTGTATTCACCATCCTATCAGCCTTTGTGTTCCAAGAGCCAACCATTCGGAATCCAAAAAAAGATGTCATCACTAGTTCTTTTGCCAATCATCTTGAATCTTGCCATTAGAAACAGTTTATATTTATTTACTCTAGCTAAACCCTTCATGACTTCATACCCTTCATACCCTGATGAAGCTACTCTTAACATTCTGTGCTCGAAGGAGAACTATCCAAGTTTGCAGTGTTAACTAGACCATGTCTTCTTCCTCACTACGTTTAGGCCACATTTACTGAGGCCAAGTACCCCAGTGTTGCCATGTTCAATGGATTCGACACAGTCCAGGAATGAAGCTAAAGAACAGTGGTGGTGAATTCGCTTCTCTTGGCTATGCTTGTAATTCAATAATATGTGAATGTAAATGTGTGTGAAGGTTTGTTGTCCAACCAATGCTAGATTTTCAACATTCCTTATTGAGATCGAGAGGATGTGAGATCACTTTGTCATCAACAAATGGAAGAACACAATGCTGCTAATAGGTCTTCAATTACATTTCTGTGTTTGTTGGGGAATTTGCATTAGAGCATTCTGTGCAATGTGAATTGGACGAATTGTGGAGCTGTATTTTAATTTAAATAATTCAGTAGTTTTAAATACTGTTCTCAATTCTGGTCTCCCTGCCATAGGAAAGATGTTGTTAAACTTGAAAGGGTGCAGAAGAGATTTTCAAGGATGTTGCCAGGGTTGGAGGGTTTGAACTATAAGGAGAGGCTGAATAGGCTGGGGCTATTTTCCCTGCAGCATCAGAGACTGAGGGGTGACCTTATAGAGGTTTATAAAATCATGAAGGGCATGGATAGGGTGAATAGCCATGGTCTTTTTCCAGGGTAGGGACTCCAAAACTAGAGGGCATAGGTTTTAGGTGAGAGGGGAAAGATTTAAAAGGGACCCAATAGGCAACCTTTTCATGCAGAAGGTGCTGTGTGTATGGAATGAAGTGGTGGAGGCTGGTGCAATTGCAACATTTAAAAGGCATTTGGATGAGTATATGAATAGGAAGGGTTTAGAGGGATAGGGGCCAAATGCTACAAATGGAATTAGATTTATTTAGGATATCTGGTCGGCATGGACGAGTTGGACCAATAGGCCTGTTGCCATCCAGTATGACTCTAATTCCTTGTACCCACCTACACTCTATATTTGCAAAAACAGTAGGAGTACATCAAATTGAACTGTTAATCCAGGGACCCTAATAATGTTCTGGGCACCCGGGTTCAAATCCCGCCACAGCAGATGGTGGAATTTGAATTCAATAAAAATGTCTGGAATTAGGAATCTAATAATGACCGTGAAACCATTGTCGATTGTTGGAAAAACCCATCTGGTTCACTAACGTCCTTTAGGGAAGGAAACTGCCATCCTTACCTGATCTGGCCTACAAGTGACTCCAGACCCACAGCAATGTGGTTGACTCTGAACTGTCCTCTGGGCAATGAGGGATGGGCAATAAATGCTGCCTAGCCAGTGACGCCCTCATCCCATTAATGAATGAAAAAAGATTAATCGTTTGCACTGTTCAGTTTACTTTTCCTTTTTGATATATTAATCTAATCTTGTTTCAATACCAGTTGTGGTTTTGGATTTCAAAATGCATCATATGAATTAAATAAAATTAGCAAAAAGCAATAATTATTGGTGCAGTTCTAATTTAGTATATCACATTGGTTAACGTTTGTGAAGCTATAGGATATATTCTTTCATGTAAACTCACTAAATTAAATGGAGCTGAGCTAAATTAAACAGAGATAATCTAAATAAATCTAAACACGGCTAAACAAAAGCTGAACCAAACTAATCTAAGCAAAACTGTTTATTTTTTGCTGACGTGCTCACTTTGCCACAGCTCCACTGCAGATTTCCAAGATAAATTATTCCTGCAGTGGTTTTATTTGGCAGGTAGTTAATTTATTGATTCTCTTTCACAATTATATCGGTGTGTCCCGTAAAGTGCAAGAGAAGATGGTGATTGGGAGTACTGCAATTTTAACCCTTTCCATGTTTGAAGGGGCGTTTCAGTGGTGGGAGAGAAGAGGCTATTGCTGGTTTCTTGCTGTAACATTCTCTCCTCTGTTACTGGCATACAGTGGCTGCAGTGTGAACCACATACAAGCTGCACTGCAGCAACTTGCCAAGGCTCCTTCAACAGCACCTTTTACACCTGTGACATCTGTAACTTAGATAGACAAAGGCAGCAGACGTTTTCAAACTGTTATTTGCACTTTCTCTGCACACTATTCACAACCTGGAGCTATATCATCATTTAGGTATTGTTACGGTGTCAGAATCCTGGGACTCCCTACCTAACAGCACTGTGGGTGTGTCTGCCCACACTACATGGATTGCAGCAGTTCAGGAAGGCTGCTCACCACCACATTCTTTGGGCAATTCGGGATGACAAAAAATGTTGGTCTTATCAGTGACCATGACACCCCATGAGCGGATTAAACAATGGTTTGATGGGAGATTGGTGAAAACCTTTGGGAGGAGGGTCATGGAAAATCCAGATCTTTGCTATTTTCACCAGTTGCCCTAAACCTAACTCTATCTCACATCGGAAATGAAGGAAGCTCCTTTCATCTTGACCATATGGCCAGAGGCAGTGACTCTTAACTCTGGGAACCTCTGCTCTTTTGGCTCATTCAGGAGCCTGTCTGACAAGGAGGGCCTTCACATTAACAGCGATCTTTTTGGTAGATTGCCCCCCTTATCGAGAAGCTGGAGTAATGGTTTCTGAGGTAGCTTTTGCCAGGGGCAGGGGATAGAGTGTGCAAGGAGGGTGTGATCCAAGGTGAGGTTGTGATGTCTGTGTCAGTATAAACAGCCAGTGGAGGTAAGAAAGTTGCCTCTCATTGACCTTGCAACTCTGAGGGAGGTGAGTGGTGCAGATGATCTATGGCACTAACAATTAGGGAATTTTGAGACAACATTTCTTAATTTGGAATTGGTGCAGTTGTAAGTAAAATTTCCCAACTCAATGACTGGCCACGTTTCAACCCATACAGTCAGGGCATGACATTGTCATTGACCAAAAGGCAATAATCATAAAGCAACATTATGCAATGCTTGACAAATTTGTTTCAGTGTTAAATCAACTGAAATAAATAAATATTTCCTCTGCTCTGAAGAGGGCTGTTTTCCTTGGAATAATTGAGGGACAGAGGAGACCTAATTTAAGTGTTTGGAATGATGAGGATTCTGGACAGAGTGAACAGGACGGTTCTATTCACTTCGATATAAGAATGCACAACCAGTGGCATAGACTTTAGCTCATTAAGAGGAGCAAGTGGTTTTACCCAGTCAATGGTGAGATTCTGGAACACTCTCTGAAAGGGCAATAGAGGCAGGAAGCATCTAAGATTTAAAAGGTATCTGCACTTGGTGCTGTAATTGGCCAGCTGGAAAGTGGATGACAGTATGTGAGCATACAAAAGGTTGGATAGCTCTTTCCAAGCTGCAGGATTCTATGATTTCACTGATTCTATGACTTTGTTCACTGTGGTAGATGTGATTATGATCAAGGCATTAGTGAATCTTTTTTGACAATGGGGGACATTACAGAAATGCATTAAAACTCATTCCAGCTTGGGAATTAAATGCTTTACATCAGTTATTAGATTCTGTTTTGAGTATGTCACACGGTTTCCTTACAATCTTTACAACCATAATTATGTTCATTCCCTTTTCAATTATGTGTCATATTGCAAAGATTCAATCACTTTGACTTGGAAGCCAAGTTAACTGAGCTCACCTATAGGAGGCGATCTCCACATCTAGGGCCAGTTTGACATTGAGCAGAGCTTGATACTCCCTGAGTTGGTGAGCCATTTCCTGTTTTGTGTTTCTCAGCTCGTTCTCTAATTGTTGAATGGCATCCTGTAAAACAAACAAATTATACATAAAAACCGAAAGTACTGCGGATGCGGGAAATCAGAAACAAGAACGGAAATTGGTGGAAAAGATCAGCAGGTCTGGCAGTAACTGTGGAGAGAAATCAAAGTTAACGGTTCAGGTTCAGTGACCCTTCCTCAGAAGCGCACTGGTCCCGAAACGCTAACTCTGCTTTCTCTCCAGAGATGCCGCCAAACCTGCTGAGCTTTTCCAGCAATTTCTGTTTTTGGAGCAAATTGTATATATGTATATATTTACTTAAACAATGGAGTGAGAGGGATAGAGTTCATTAGTTTCCTTTGGCATTCTCACCTGGTATCGCATTAATTCGGCTCGGTGTGTGTTTCCAATCTCATCCAACTGTTTCTCCAAAGACTCTTTCCTCCCTCTGACTGTCTCCAGCTGCAGGTTTTTGGACTGGAGCTGGCGATTATACTCACTGATTTCCTGTCGTGTCCTTTGCAGAGTCTCCCTGTTGCTCGCTGCTGCATCATTGAGTTTGGCCACTCTCGCTGTGAACCACTGCTCAGCGTGCTGCAGGTTCACAGTGGTGTAGCCTTCCAGCTGCGCCCGGATCTCTCTCAGGGCTCCGGTCAGGTCTGGCTTCATGATGTCTTTCAATTCCACACCGACCTGGGAAGCTTGGATCTGAGAGAAGAGATCAGCCACCTCTTCCTCGTGATTGTTCTTCAGGAAGTCGATCTCATCCGCCAGCGCCTGAGCTTTCTTCTCCAGTTCCAGTTTGTTCATGTGCACACTCTCTGTGTCTTTCTTCAAAGCCTGGAGACTTGCTTCAACCTTTTGTCGGACCTGTCTCTCATCCTCATATTTCCTCTGCAATCGGCGGAGATCTTCCTCGAAGTGATCCCGGTCCATCTGGATCCCCACCTTCTGCTTTTCGCTTTCTTGGATGAGGTTCCGGAGCTCGGCCATTTCTGGCTCATAGACATTAGCGAGGTCAGACTGGGAGCTTTGCCTTTCCCTCAACTCGGTGATTTCTGCCTCCAGAGCCTTGTTGTGCTGTTCCAGCTGGCGGACCTTGTCAATGAAGCTGGCGAAGCGGTCATTGAGCCCCTGCAGCAGCTCCTTCTCATTGGCGCCCAGCACTTGGTCACATTCGAGGCTGATCCCAACATTTCCCTGCAGCCTGGAGCCTCGGCTCGCCGCCAGACCGCTCTGCCGGTGGGAAGCTCTGGACCACTCCTGGGAGCTGAATGTTGGGATCTGAGAGGGATTCCGAGTCTATCTGCGAGCGGTGACTGAGTATACTCTCCTGAAGGGAGAACTACTAACAGACTGCAACTCTCTCGTCCTCTCCACCTATCCTCTCCTCTATCCAGCCTCTATCCGCCTCCCCCTCTCTCCCTATTTATTTCAGAAGCCCCTTCCCCTCCCCCATTTCTGATGAAGGGTCTAGGCCCGAAACGTCAGCCTTCCTGCTCCTCTGATGCTGCTTGGCCTGCTGTGTTCATCCAGCTCTGCACCTTGTTATCTCGGATTCTCCAGCATCTGCAGCTCCTCCTATCTCTGCACAGCTAGAACTCATCTTTCAGCAGCTGGACAGCGCCAGAATGCTGAGATAACAAGGTGTAGAGCTGGATGGATAGAGGAGAAGATAGGTTGAGAGGAGACAGACAGGTCAAAGAGGCGGGGATGGAGCCAGTAAAGGTGAGTGTAGGTGGGGCGGTAGGGAGGAGATAGGTGAGTCCAGGGAGGACAGACAGGTCAAGGGGGCGGGATGAGGTTAGTAGGTAGGAAATGGGGGTGGGGCTTGAGGTGGGAGGAGGGGATAGGTGGGAGGAAGAACAGGTTAGGGAGGTGGGGACGAGCTGGGCTGGTTTTGGGATGCGGTAGGGGGAGGGGAGATTTTGAAGCTACATCCCTCAGCCTCTTGCCTTATATAGGGAATGCTGCTGGTAACTTTGCAAAATCGAATCGGTGCTTACTGAAAGGGATTGTTAATGCTTTGCTCCAATTCTGCTCTGCATTTCAAATGGTGAGGCTAACCCTGTCGATAGTTTGGGTTTTTTTGCTTTGGGAAGAGTGTGACTCAAATATGAGAAAACATCAATGTTTCGGTTTTTAATGAAAAGAGTTTTGCAGAAAATGTTTTCCAATTAATAAACGCTGAATATTGTCCCTTCCAGGATATTTATCCTCTTGTTCACAAAGGGTTGTAAGGATAAACACAGAAATTATTGGCACTGTGAATTTCTAGAAGCAATAATTTGGAATGGAATTAATAATCACAGGGGCAAACATAAGTCAGGTAGGGAGAGACTGTAAGGATTTCTTAATGAGAAATCAGGTTTAATGAACAGAGAGTCATACAGCACAGAAACAGACCCTTTGGTTCAATCAGCCCATGCCGACTATCATCCCGCATTAAACTAGTTCCACCTGCAAGTACTTGGCCCACATTCCTCCAAACATTTCTTAATTGTGTATTTATCTAAATGTCTTTTAGACATTGTAACTCTGTTTGCATCCACCTGTTCCTCTCGAAGTTCATTCCACACATGAACCACTCTCTGTGTAAGATAATTACCCCTCATGTCATGCTGGAATTCTGTGAAGCAATAACAGAGAGGGTTAATGATGGTAATGTTGTTGTTGTTGTGTACCTGGGCTTCTAAAAGTCAGTTGATATTGTACCACAAGACAGACTTGTGAAAAATGATATAACACATGGAATAAAGGGGACAGCAGCAAAGTGGATACAAGACTGGCTGCTTGATAAGAAACAGAGGATAATGGCTAATGGATACTTTTTGGGCTGAAGAAAGTTTGTAGTAGAGTTTCTGAGGAGTCAGATAAATGCAAAATACTGCGGATGCTGGAAAACTGAAATAAAAACTGAAAGTTCTGGAGAAGCCCAGCAGGTCTGGCAGCATCAGAATGAGAAGTGATCTTTGGGCTTGAAATATTAATTCTGTTTCTCACTCCACAGATTCTGCCAGATCTGCTGAGCTTCTCTGTCATGTTCTTTTTTTTTTATCTCTAAGGGTCAGTGTTAGCACCCCTGCTTTTACTGATATATATATAAATGACCTAGATCCTGATATGCAAGGGCAATTTCAAAGTTTGCATTTGACAGAAAACTTGGAAAGACTGTAGTAAGGGAATGAGTAGAGAACTTTAAAAGCATGTTGAAAAACTGGTGAAGTGGGCAGATAGATGACACATGAAGTTCAATATTGTAAAGTGTGAGGTGATGGTTCTGACTGTGTGAGTGTGCATAAGTCAGTAAAGGTGGCAGGACAGGTAGAGAGAGCACTCAATGAAGCGAACAGTATTCTAGGCTTCATTAGTCGGACCATAGAGCAGGGAGATTATGCTGAACTTGAATAGGACAGTACAGTTCTGGTTGTCCTGTTACAGGAAGGATATTAAGCTGGACAGGGTTCAGAAGAGATTTACCAAGATGTTGCCAGATATGGAGGGTTTGAGTTATAAAGAAAGGCTTGGATAGGCTGGGACATTTTTCACTGGAGCATAGGAGGTTGAGAGGTGACCTTATAGAAGTTTATAACATCATGAGGGGTATAGAATAGGTTAATGGAAGTTGTCTTTTCCCTAGGATGGGAGACTTCAAGATTGGGGGCATATTTTTAAGATGCGAGGAGAGACATTTAAAAAAGACGTGAGCGGCAATTTTTTTACACAGAGGGTGGAATAAACTTCCTGAGAAAGTGGTGAATGTGGGTACACTTACAATATTTAAAGGACATTTGGATAAATACATAAAAAGGAAAGGTTTGGAGGGATATGGGCCAGGAGCAGGCAGGTGGAATTAGTTTAGTTTGGGATTACGTTTGGCATGGACTGGTTGGACTGAAGGGTCTGTTTCAGTGCTGTATGACTCTATGACTCTATGAATAGTTGGACCTCAGGTGGAGTATGTTATATAGGTCTGGGCATCACTGTAAAATAAGGATGTGAGTGCTTTAGAGACAATGCAAAAGAGGTTTACAAGAAAAGATTCCATGGATGAGTCACTTCAGTCATGAGGATAGATTAGAGAAGTTAGGACCTTTTTATTTGGAGAGAAGAAGAGGTTAAATTGGAGTTTTCAAATGTGGCAGAGTAGATATTGAGAAACCATTCACCCTCAGAATTGATTAAGAACAAGAAGATATAGATTTAAAGTGATTTGCAAACTAAGTAAATGTTTTGTGAGGAAAAAGATGTGTTCACAAATTAATAGTTCAGGACTGGAATGCACTACCTAATTGTGAGATGGAGATAGGTTCAATTGAGGCATTCAGGAGGTCTTTATTGATCTGCTGCATTTACAAGGCTGTTGTATCCATTATAATGTATAGGCGCAAGATAGGCTTAGGCTATTGCTCAAAACAGTGACTGTGTTCAAACAAATTCATTCCAATCTTCCAGTTATTACTCTGAGCTCTGTCTCTTATGAGTCTAGGGACATTTTCCAGAATTGATTCCAGTGAAGTACAGCTTGGGCCATTTTACTGATCATCCAAATATCTAGACCAAAGATATGGACTGCACACTGCACAATAATTGCCTCTTGACTGTTAGGGTTTGTTTTGAAATTTGCAATACATGGTTAGGGTTGGATGAGTCTCCTTCATAAGAAGAATCCACTGTACCCATGTGAAACCTGCTGAAGAAAAGCCTTTTATCTTGCTGTGGCTTCACCCCACTATAAATACTGCTATCTTACTAGTGCTGAAACCACTAAGTGCCCGAGCTGTCAGCTCATTGCAGTGGTTAGAGTTGCTCTGTTTCCCTATAACTCTAAGACTGCAAGAATTGAAACATACTAAAACAGAAATTGCTGGAGAAATTCAGCAGATCTGGCAGCAGCTGTGGAGTGAAAACAGAGTTAATGTTTGGAGTTCAGTGTCCCTTTTGAAGGAGTTTGCACAACATACATTGACAAATGAAATAGCTAGGATTATCATTACCTTGTAGGATAGTTTTAATGTGCCTTACTTTGGCATCAAGCATGCAATGTAAGCAAGTTGTGAACAAATGGTGAGCAAGTGACTTGAGCCTATTTATGAGGTGACTGATCATGTTGCCAATAAGGTCAGTCCTACAGTGCACGGAACTGTAGGAACGCCGACATGTTTATTGACCAGTGGGAGTGTAGTGTTCATTAGCAGAGAACTCATTAGCAGATTTCTCAAATAACATGTCCAGAAAAGGTTTGTTTTACTCCTCCATTTGTAGGTGAATTTGAATGCAGGATGGAGCCCAGTAAGGTGCGCTAAGGTGTTTAGAGGTGCAGCTGCAGATTCCAATACAGTAAAAGTATCATTCGATATTTGAAACTTACACCCTGTGAGATTTGTGTGAAATTGGTGTGAAGGCCTAAAATTTTTCTGAGAGTGTATTTTTCATGTCAACACGTCCGTACAGCAGGAAGCCTACCCCACAATTATTGGCAATAAGACTCCAAGTCTCCTATGGTGTTTTCTCAGGGCAGGGCACAATGGTGTTTACCTTGGAAAATGTGGTTACCCTCAGTGGGACTTCACACAGGCTCTTACCACACAAGTTCATGGCTATAAGATTTGCAGTGAATTTCCATTTCCCAAGAGTGAATTAAAAAACTACTAAGCATTCTTAGCATTAACAGCTTCTTCCTTTTAAAAACCAGGTGGGAAAACACACCGGCACTTCATCGGAGGCTGCACTGATGATGTTACCCAGCACGGTAATGAAACGTCTGTGGAACAACAAACCAGCTCGGTGAGCCAACCAATCTCAACAGCTTCTTCCTTTATTTATTATCTAGGATTCTGAGCAATTCAGGAAAATGGATGGAGTGTAGCATCAAATGAGATTTTTCCTTATCACGAAGTTGAGTTCTTTTGTCTGTTAACACTTTCTTTGTTCTCACAAAATAATTTCTGGCTAATGCTACCCTTACTTTAAATTTGGCAACACCTCTGTTAACTTTGGTTATCATATGTCCTAAATAGACAAAGTTATTGACTTGTTCCAATGTCACACCATTCACTTCAATTATGTTCACAGTAGTTACACTAGGACAAGTCAATAACTTTGTTGATTTGGGACGAATAATAACAGAAGATAGTCGATGCAATGCCAAAGTCAGCCAGAACAAGCTTGAGTGAGTTCTGGAGTTAAAATAGTGGTTAAGGAGTATTTGAGCAGTGAACTGATGTTTGCAATTTTAACTGCACATCACGTTCCAGCTTGGAGGATTGAGTTAAAATCAGGGCTATTGTCCCAAATGATATGTTGCACATATTTGGATTCAGATAAAGACAGACATTGATTTTGTCACTATGTTACATCAAGGTCATATGTGCTGCAGTTCAGTTACGTTCAGATCATGCTGCCCTTCTGCTAATCAGCCACCAGCATCCGTTAGTTTCTGTCAGGAAGACCTCAGTTAAATGATAAGTCTGTGAGGTCAGTTATGCTGTTTCCTCATTCTATCTGTGTCTTGGACATTGCTATTACAGATATCAGTTCACTGTGTAGGTGAAACGTTTGGCAACAGTAATTTAGTATTAGAACTGTTGTGCATGTTCGGTGATCATAACAAACGCTTAGAATGATACTTGGGGCTCTTGTCAGTAGATGGTGCTGTGTAATACAAAATGGTTTCTTTAACTGCTGAGTCACGGTGCAGATAACATTGATGGAGAGTGGGCGATAATGATTTCAGAAATAAAGGCAAAGTCCAACCATTCAAAAATGCACTAAGTTTATATCCATAAAATACAAATCTTCTTAAGATTTGATGTCTGGGATTGATGGTGATCAGATGTTGTCCCCACTTGTACTTATCTGGGCATCGCTCTCTTAAGCTAAGTTTGTATTGTGAGGTTCTGAGTGGCAGGCGAGGTTTGCAATCCTTTTGTACAATGAACTGAAAGCACAAAATCCGGCAAATTCAGAAAGGCTGGCTGTTGAGGAGGCAATTGTTTTGTCACATCTGCCCTGGGTTTGGTGAACCTGCTCTTTATTACAGGGCAGGTGCCAGTTGTGGGAAGATCACACACTATGTGTTGGCAGAAACAAAATCTCAGCAAATACAGTGTCACACTGCTGCACTGTTTTCTAGCTGGCATATCTCAGATTAGTGCAACTCCAACAACAACTTACATTTAAATGTTACTTTTATCATGGTAAATACACCAAGCTGCTTCACAAGCATTGCTAAGTAAGGTTTAGTATTGAGCCACATAACAAGATGCGAGGACGGATGTGAAGAACAGCGTGAGGATTTTAAAAACAACTGAACCAGGAACCAGTGTGGGCCAGTGAGCATGGGATTCAGTGCAAATTAGGAATATGGGCAGCAAAGTGTTGGGTGGTCTCAAGTTTACAGAGGCCAGGGAGAGTACTGGTTTGATTTGATGCCAGCAGAACAGGACTGTTTTTACGCTGTCTGACTGTGAAAGCAGCTTGCACAGTTTAGAGAGCCCTCTTTTCTTTATACTCCTGTGCAGAGCTACAGTGCCAACTGGTGAACGTGTGCAATATGTAGGATCACTGCAGGAATCAGGTGCATTTCAATGTCCAGCTCATGTCTTTACCCTGACCTGAACATTCCAGGCCATCCGGCAGCCGGAAAACCTCCTAACCTCTTTCCCATTATTCCTGTGTGTAACCTTGAATGAAAATGAACCCTGTCTCGTGAAAGGTCTTTCAAGGTTGCTAACAGCCTCCTTTCATGAACCTGCAGATCGAAGTCAAATGGGCCATCCCCCACTCCATCCTGTCCCAACTTTCTCAGGGTGACTGCCTCACTGAGATGTCCCATTTTTACATAACTGTCAAAACAGGTTGTTGTTGTTTGATTTCCAGGAGTGGGGGGGAGCGTGGTTTGATGTACCAGTCACGTCAATAAAAAGTCAGAGGTTTCAATCTATACTGAGGGCTCAGAAAAAGTACAAATGGATAGGAAATTGATGCATTAACCTTGACTGCAAGGCATCAGCTTGTGGAAAATCAATATTCCTACATTGTTGAGTCTGAAAGGAATGGAGTACACCTGTTCAAGGGCATTCCCAAAGCATTCGACTTAGACTTTAGTTTAAAATCACACTCTGGAGTTATTCTGCTAATTTTATGTCATTAAGGCAGGAATTAAACTACAGTTACTCAAAAGTAGCATCTTACAATTTACTGTCAGACAAGTGGGGATGAAACTTTTAAGATGACATCTAATCCACATTTCTTTCAATAAGTGCCTTAAGGTGCAAGCTTTACTATCTCATCTGAGAGTCAGGCAACTAAATTTAAAAATTGATAAATTGTCCTTTGTAAAGCTGGCATTTTGGATGTGGGATTCAAACTTGGATTGTGGCCAGTGACCGAGGGAATAAATTCCGTTAATAAAACTGACTGGTGTTTAAAGGGACACATTTTGTTTCTCTATGCTTTTCTTCAATTGATTCAATAAATGAATAGACTCCTGATAGAATAGATTATATGTTAGATAAGTACACGAATAGGAAAGGTTTGGAGGGATATTGGCCAGGAGCAGGCAGGTGGGACTAGTTTAGTTTGGGATTATGTTCAGCATGGACTGGTTGGATCGAAGGTTCTGCTTCCATGCTGTATGACTCTATGACTTTATGTGCATGGTAAAAAATAATGGCTTGTCAGCTTCATTCTATATCATTCCATTCCTTCTGAGTCTCTTTTTTTAGGCTGATTTGTACTAGTGGTACTTAAGCTAAACAAAAATATTTTGAAACTAGGAATGCATTAAGCATAATTTGATGTACAAATATTTCTGATCTGCAGAATCCCAGCATCATGGAGGAGGAAGAATCACTCGCATTGAGTCTAAGGGTGTTTGATGTGAGCTAATTGGCTGCTGTTTTTGATTTAGCATTGGCTACACTTTTTAAAAATTGGCTGGCAGTGTCATAGATTGGAAAATCTTGTGGATGAACAACATAAGTCCCAATTTTTTATAAGCAGACAAAATATCGCAAAATAAATAAATTCGCATTGAAACAGATCCATTTTCTTTGACAAAGTGCATTTATTTGTGAATGGCATATTGATTGCTACTTGTCCACTGATTATGCTCGTAGCAATTATTAGTGTCACTGAGGACTCAAAAATGTCTGAATTTCAAAACGCAATGTGCATGTATTTAAATATATTAAAATCAACAGGAAAATTAAGGCTTTTTCTGTTGTATTGATTCCATCAACATCAAACCTATTTCTCAAAGTCAAAGATATTTGTAAGCACGCCACAGCAATGGCAATGTTTAATTATGCAATTATTCATGCAGCAATAAATTAAAATTGAAATTATTCCCCTGAGAAAATCCCAAACTTCCTATTGCAGAAACATACATTTCATTTCTATGTTCTTAAATTGCTGAAGTGCTAGACCTTTACTGTGTAACATGCATTTCTTACTGTCTGATTTATCACTATTTCTGGCATTCATATACCTTCTTTGGCTTCATTTTGAGTATCTGATGAAGCTGTCAAGGACTTTTCTTCTTTTTTTGTTTCGTTAATCACTTCTTTTTTCGTTGTGCTGGTCACTGTGATTTTCACAATCTCTTCTTTGCTTTTGATGGTTTCCTCTGCAATTTTCTGCACTGCTTCCGTTGAGACTTTTGTAGTTTTGTTGTCAGTTTCAACGTCCATCTCTTCTTTATCCACTTTGATGTCCAAGCCGTTTATGATGGTCTCTGCTGTTCTGGCTGTAGACTGTGTGCTCTTGCTTTCAGGAGTGTCACTTACAACCTTTTCTTGCATTTTCTCTGCTTCTGAGGCTTTCACCGTTTTTTCTTCACTTTCTTTGCTAGACTGTTTTTTGCTGCTATCTTTGTCAGTTTTCGTTCCTTCCAATGTTACAGTGTTGTCTTTGCTTGCTTCTTTCTCCTCCATCTTAGGGACATCAGTTTTTTTGTCTTTGACTTTTTCTTCTTTTGGTTGTTCTGTAAAATTTTCTGTTTGCTCTGAAGTTTCTGACACCCTTGCTACTTCATTTGCTTGCACTTTTTCAACTTTAACTGTCTGTTTTTCACTTTCTTTTGCCAATTCCTGAGAAGCAGCTTCTTTTTCATCTGTTTTCGGCTCTTCTTTCACTTTATCTGACTCTGGCTCTGGTTTATCTGGTTTCTTTGTATCTTTACTTTCCTCTGCAATTTCTTCAGCCACAGGCTGGGGCTCATCTTTTTGATTTGTGCTTGTTCCTTTTGACTCCTCCTTTTGTTGAGTCACATGATCTTCCTCCTGTTCCTTGCCATTTCTCTTGTCTGTAGTGTCACTTGGTTCAGTCTGATCTTCTTCAGTAGCTGCTTGCTTCTCGCTTTTGGCTTTCTCTTTTGGACTTGCAATTTTTTCCTCTTCAGCATCTGCCTTCATTTCCGCTCTTCCTTGTGTTTCAGACTCTTTTCTCTCTGTGCTGTCTTCTTTGCCCTGTTTCTTCTCAGCAACGTTTTCCTCTGCAGTGTCTTTAACTTCTTGCTGCTCAGCATTGTCTTTTGTTTCTATAGTTTCTAGTTCTTCAGGCTCATTTGCTTCTGTATTCTCTTCCTCTTCTTCTCTAGAATCTGCAGTTTCCTCTTCAACCTTATCTTTCATTTCAGCAGCATCCTGCCCTTCAGTTTCTTTTGTTTTTGGAGATTCATCTTTAGCCTTTATTTCTGTTGCCTCTTCTACTTCACTCTCCTCTTTTGTTTCAGTACTTTCTTTCTCTTCAGATTCTCCTGTTGCCATTGTTTCATCCTCTTTGGCTTCTTTGCCCTCTATAGCTTCTTCCTCTGCACTCTCTTCTTTTGTTTCACTGCCCCTCTCAGCCTCCTCTTCATCCGAAGCTTCAGCTGTTGTCGCTTCATCTTTATCTTCTTCATCTTCCTGCTTGGTTTGGTCCTCCTCATCGAATTTTTCACCAGACCCATCGTCGGAGATAACTCTTTGAATGGTATCTTCCAGCTCGGCCATATCAACCTCCTTTGTTGTTTCACTTATAATTTCTTCCACAAATTTGTACTGAGGGGCAGCCTTTGTGGGAGTGCTCTTGGCCTTTGTCGTGACATAAACTGAATGAGTCATGGGTTGTACTTGTCTGTATGTATATGAAGGAGGAGTGTAGCTACCTGCAATTGAGCCAAATCTCGTCTCTTCGCCTTCAAGCAGTTTCCTGATCAAAGAAAAGGGAACATTGTTATGTGCTTACAAGATGAATTAAACGTGTGTGCACAAATTAAACAATGCTTGATGACGTTAATGGTGCAGTGGACACTTTGATATGAATAAATGATTTCCTTTTCTCTCACTTTTACCAAGTTTGTATTTCTCTCCATCTGTAATTCCTTCACACTAAGCATCATAAAGCTCAGCGAATGATGTGCTCCATGACCCTTGTCCCTGCTGCACTTGTGTCCATGGAAGTAAGTAACATGGAGTGGCTCAGTCTCTTTTTCCTTATCCTAATTTTACAAAAGCATAAGGCCTTTGCGCAATACCTGGAGCTTCCCCTCAACAATATCATGGTGGTCAGTTGTGCATTTTACAGGTGGCATGGTAGCTCAGTGGTTAGCACTGCTGCCTTACAGTCCCTGGGACCTGGGTTTTATTCCACCCTCAGGCAACTGTCTATGTGGTGTTTGCATGTCCTCCCTGTGTCTGCATGGGTTTCCTCCCACAGTCCAAAGATGCGCAGGCTAGGTGGATTGGCCATGCTAAGTTTCTAATCGTGTGCAGGTCAGGTGGATTAGCCAAGGGAAATGCAGGGTTACAGGGATAAATTAGAGGAGTGTGTCTGGGTGGGATGCTCTTCGGAGGGTCAGCATGGACTTGATGGGCCAGATAGCCTGCTCCCACACTGTGGGGATTCTATGAAGAATAACTGACTCAAATCTGAAAACTTTAAATGAAAGAAGTCCAACACTTCTGTTACCAGTTGGTAGTGCTCTTGCCTCTAATTTGCAATACTCTGGCTTTACAAACTGAGGACAAATATAAAAACTGATATTTTAGCACAGCACCAAGAGGGTGCTGCATTGTCAGAGTTTTTTTTAGATGATGCATTAAACTGAGGCCCCATGTTTGCCCTCTCAGGTGAAGGTAAAAGATCTCCTGGCAGTACTTTAAAGGACAGGAGGGGAGTTAACTCTGGCATTTACCCTGCAATCACCATCCTAAAAACATACTTTCCTCTTATTTGTTCTTGGGAGGTGAGTGTCTCTGTCAAGGTTAGTACATATTGCCCATCCTTCATTATCCTTGAGAAGATAGCGGTAAGCCAGTCACTGTCACACTGTGGGAGTTTGCTGAATTCCTACATTAGAACAGTGATTGGACTTCAAAAGAGCATTTAAATTGGTGTCAGGTGCTTTGAGATGCACTGTGACTGTGAAGGATGCTATATAAATGCAAGTTTTTTAGTCAGGTGGGGAGTGAAGTGCAGTTAAGTCCTGATCTAGTTGTCTAGTACAGAAAGTTAGAGAGGCTGAAGGATACAACACAAACTATTTGATAGAAAATGGAATTGTAGACAAATCCAAGCCTACCAGTGTCCAGGTACATGTTCTCCAGCTGCAGTCAGATCCAGATTAAGATATTTTAAAATCACATTACATTAACCAGTTTATTTCATAAAGCTGTGTTACACTGACCTTGAAACACTTTATTTTAAAATAAATTAGATATCTGCTCATTTTGAATGCAGCATGCAAACCTAACAAATTTTTTTTTCTGATGAAGGGTCTAGGCCCGAAACGCCAGCCTTCCGGCTCCTATGATGCTGCTTGGCCTGCTGTGTTCATCCAGCTCTGCACCTTGTTATCTCAGATTCTCCAGCATCTGCAGTTCCTACTATCTCTAAAAAAATCTGCAGTTTGATTGCAGATTATTATAATCCAACTTTTTTTCCATAGGAGGATCATATTGGAGCCAAAACCACAGATGTAGCCAGACCTGCTAAATGTCTTCAGCATTCTCTGTTTTTATTATTAGGTTGAATAAAACAATTAAACTTCATTGGCAATGGACACAGCTCACCCATATCTTCAGAACTGTGCAGCACCTTCAGTAATGTGGTTTATATTCTTGTTATATTTTTGGTGGGGGTGAGGATTACGGTAGAGAACTTACTTGAAGAAAATTCAGTCTAATTTTGACATTTATTAGAAAAATTATACAACTTCTTGAATTGGAAAAGGTTTGTGTTTTAATACAACAAAGGTAAATTCTAAACTGCATCAAAAGATTCCAACCCCCTCTCCCAATCATTTCCCTGAATCTTTCCGTGGAAATATCAAACGCCGGAGTGTGAGGATTGGAAGTGAATATTTACAGAGAATGTTACCTTCTCTCGCCCCACAATGTTTCTGAGGGGAGTGATCACATCTGGGCTATAGAACACTGCACAGCGTCGCCAGTAGAAGGCGCGCTAGCGATAACCACAGTTTGCTGCTGTTTTGCCCTCAGCTCCGTCCTCCCCTCCTCCTCCCAAACTGCAGAATCCCAGCACCGCATTGTGTTTTCCCACTGCACAGCTCACACTCACCTGTCAACGTAACCCTGAAGAAACAAGACGATGCTGCTTGGCCTGCTGTGTTCATCCAGCTCTACACCTTGTTATCTCAGATTCTCCAGCATCTGCAGTTCCTACTATCTCTGCACCATTATATTTGTCAGTTTACGCTCAGTCTTTTTCTCTCTCCCCAGATACTGACAGACAGAATTGCTGAGTTCCTCCAGCATTCTCTGATGCTTTGTTTTGTATTGTCAGTTTTGGTTATTATTTTCTTTCAGACAGCCTTGTCTCGCAAGACATTTGCAACCTAACAGCGCCCGGTTATCAGCCTAGTGCCATCAATGTCGAGATGCGATCCGCTTGACATCTCATTTAACTGTCCTTCGTGACTTTGAGAGTATCAGTAGAGACGCTTCTATAGGAATAATCTGCATGCGGGCTATTTCATATTTACAAACGTGTGAGAGCTTTCATTGACATGGCTCTCGGCACAAAGATCCTGGCCAGAATGTTCAATAATTAGCCCTGGAAACATTCTTTAATACTTACCGTGTATGTTAATACCCCTCTAGTCAATGAACTTTGCAGCGCTAACAGCTTGCCTATTTGTGTGCAGCAATGGTGCAGTGGTAGCGTCTTTGCCTTTGAGCTAAGAGGCTCTGGGTTCTAATCCAGCCTCTTCTAGGCGCGTACACAACATCCTCGAATGGCTTTAGTAGGGTGGTAGCTAGCAGAGGTAACCCTAAATCACTAACGCAAAGAAATTCGCTTTTGCGTCATATTGCAACTTGCCATGCACTTTTTCAGAATTTAAAAAAAAAGTTTGATATTCTAAGGTTTTAATGTTCACCCTATGATTTCTATGATTAGGCTTCATGCGGCGTGTGACATTCTCAAGATCCCAACTTTGGAGTTCCAGAAAAGGTGAAGCTGCATGTTATAACCCGCCTTACCTGTAGGAGGCAATCTCCACATCCAAAGCCATTTTGACATTCAGCAGATCTTCATATTCCCTCAGGTGGAGAGTCATCTCCCACTTGGTGTTTTTCAGCTCGTTTTCCAATTGTTGGATGGTATCCTGTTTAAACAAAAATGAAACGTGTGCTTTTAAAGGTTACAAGGCGAGTGGAGAACGCAGCTACACTGACAGAGTTCCTTACCTGGTATTGGACTAATTCTGCGTCGTGTCTTTCCTCAATATCGCTGAGCTGTTTTTCCAGGGATTCTTTGGTGCCTCTGACCGTCTCCAGCTCGATGCTCTTGGTTTGGAGCTGCTTGCGGTACTCGTTGATCTCTTGCCTGGTGCTCTGGATGGCTTCATTATTCAATTCTGCAGCTTCGTTGAGTTTAGCCACTTTGGTGCGGAACCACTGCTCAGCGTGCTGCAGGTTCACAGTGGTGTAGCCTTCCAGCTGCGCCCGGATCTCTCTCAGGGCTCCGGTCAGGTCTGGCTTCATGATGTCTTTCAATTCCACACCGACCTGGGAAGCTTGGATCTGAGAGAAGAGATCAGCCACCTCTTCCTCGTGATTGTTCTTCAGAAAGTCGATCTCATCCGCCAGCGCCTGAGCTTTCTTCTCCAGTTCCAGTTTCATTAAGTGAGCAGCGTCCCTGTCTTTCTTACACATTTGGATGTTTGCCTGGAGCTCATCTCGAACTCGCGTCTCTTCTTCAAACTTGGCCCGGAGCTGCTGCAGGTCTTCTGCCAGGTGCTCTCTCTCCAGCAAGACCTGGCTCTTTTGGCTGCCTATCTCCTGAACGAGCTGGCGCAGTTCTCTGATCTCGGGCTCATAAATGCTGGCCAGGCGGGTGGAAGAGATCTGCTTTTGCCTCAGGTCAGTGATTTCTGCCTCCAGAGCCTTGTTGTGCTGTTCCAGTTGGCGGACCTTGTCAATGTAGCCGGCGAAGCGGTCATTGAGCCCCTGCAGCAGCTCCTTCTCATTGGCGCCCAGCACCTTGCCTTCACTAGTGAACAAAGAAGACTGACTGAATTCCACAATCTCCGAAGATCTGTGAGCTGCCGAGCTGAAACCCTGGCCACTCGCCCGCTTGCTGGGAGAGCTAACGCTACCGGTTACCCTGGACCAGTTCTGGGCGCGGAAGGTAGGGGATGAGTAGCTCAGGGTCCGAGCCAGGTTCTTGGAAGGGTCTGTGTACACCTTCCGATGAGGAGAAGTGCCCACAGAATCCCAGCTGTAGTTCATCTTGCTGCTGGCAGTCCTGTCTGCAACACTGTACAGTGACTGCTCTGCCTCCTGCTTATATAGGGATGTCAACACTGCACCATCCATCCCTTTGCCCCCACTGCTTGCTATTCTGACGAGGAAATTTGCGATGAATGACGCATGCAACTCTCCCTGAGTCTCTCTCTGCTTTTACATTTAAAATGGTAATGATAAAATGGAACTAAGATCTGAATAACTCAAGTCAAACATCACTTGAAATGATGTGCAGCAGTCTCGGTTTCCAAACCGATTGAAAGTTAAAAATATGTATAAAGTTTTCGAGAACAGTTAAAAATATTATTTTGATGCTAAGCTCTGATTGTGACATTGCTGTGCTCTGTGAGAGGACAGAGTGTCTTCTATGGTTTTTGTGCTTGGTCGCAGAATTTTCATTTTCAGTCGTAGTTAACAAACTTTAACTATCTTTCAATTTGTTACTCCGATGCATTAGACTCTTCGCTGGAGATATTTAGTAGAATTTTTGCTTTCTTTTAAAGGTAGTCGAATTCAGCTTCTGCACGTTTTACTCCATCAGTACACGACAGCAACTGCAGTGTCTACCATCCGCTGGACAAACTATACATTCCTTTTACATTTTTTGATGGTTTCTGCTGTTAAAGTCAGGAAATAGCTTACGCTGCAATCTCGGAACCATGACGCTTATAAATAGGAAGACAGTTCGTCTTATGTTCAATTAAAAATTTCATAGTACCTTTGCATTTTGCAGCTAGGAATGGAACAGGAAGGTCATGAATGAAACTGTACTCAATAGAATAGAATCCTTACATTGCAGAAGAAGTCCATTCAGGTCATCCATTCCACATTGACCTTCTCCAAAGCGCATCCCACCCCGACCCAGTACCCGACCCTATCCCTGCATTCCCCACATCTCCCTGGACGCTATAGGGCAATTTAGTATGGCCAATCCACCTAACCTGCACAACTTTGGATCGTGGGAGGAAACCCACGCAGAGACGGGGAGTATATACAAAATCCACACAGACAGTCACCTAAGACCGGAATCAAGCCTGTGTCCTTGATAGTATGAGGCAGCAGTGCTAACCGCTGTGTCACTCCATGCCGGTACATGGTTTGAATTTACAGTGGTTGTTGAGTCTTTGTAGATTTTTGTTTGTTCCCAGGATATAGTTGGAAAGACCTTACATTTACCCATTCCTTGATAGCTTGAGATGTTAGTTCTGGCTTCCTTGAAATGCTGAGGTTCATTGTGGTGATGGTGCTGTCATGGTGGTGACCAATTAGGGAACAAAATAGTCACTTTGCAAGAAAAATCCTGCAAAAGAATCAATCAGTTTTCATTTTAAGATTATCATTACAGCATTGGCCTCAAACATTAAATCAAGAAGATGAACGAGCCTCCTTTGCTAATTAAATGAAGACATTGACATATATATTAGCAAAATACTGCAGATGCTGGAAATGTGAAACAAAGACAGAGAATGCTGGAGAAACTCAGTAGGTCTGGCGGCATGTGTGGAGAGAAACAGAGTTACCATTTTGAATCTGATATAACTCTTCTTTGGAACTGAAAGGGGTTGGAAAACAGATTCCTTTTTGTACTTTATAATCTTGATAAAAATTTTGGTTTCCAATACTTTTCTGTTCTGAAGAAGTCATATCAGACTGAAAATGTTAGCTGTGAAGAAGGGTCGCTGGACATGAAACATTGATTCTGCTTTCTCGCCACAGATGTGGCCAGACCTGCTGAATTTCTATAACAATTTCTGTTTTTGTTTCAGATTTCCAGCAACCACAGTTCTTTGTCTTATTATATCAAAATGTTCACACTATTTCTCTCTCCACAGATGCTGCCAAACTTGTTGAGATTTAAAAGCAATTTCTGTTTTTGCTTCTTATCTATGTAATGTAATCAGACTTCACAAACACAACATCTTGGTCAATCATTGACTTCTAAGCATTACTGTCCTTATAAGCAATTTCTGGCAATGATAATCAGAGCACTGATCATTCTACTGGGCACTTTTAAAAGGAGTTCTTAATGGCTGTCTGTGGATTTGCTTTGAATAAAAACCACTATGTGATTAGATTAAGTATGTAGTATGTATTGTAAAACTGAAGTACATCCTGGCAGTCAAGTCTTTATGCCTGTTAAGTATGTTACAGGAAATCTGATGATGCTGGATACAACAAGAGAGGAAGCTATCACTAATGCCAAGTGTACATATGTTACAGACAGAACTACACGATGTGTCTTGATGCTACATTCTGATCTGAAGAATTCTATTTGGAGGGTTTCCATTTTTTGTCATTTAACTGTATCAGATTTTAACTGACCTGCTTTTATATGATTATGCAGATTCCTTTTACAGAATCCCTTTTTATCTTGTCCTGGCACTGAAATTGAATGGGAACTTAAGGTTTTTGAGAACGACTGGTCCCAAAATACCGTCAAAGTGTTACATTAAATTAGTAAAATATTGACATCATAAACCATCCAAAATACTAATGAGATAACACCATGTGGAGCTGGAGGAGCACAGCAGGCCAGGCAGCATCAGAAGAGCAGGAAAGTTGATGTTTTGGGTCGGGACCCTTCTTCAGAAATGGGGGGTGGGAAAGGGAGCTCTGAAATAAATACAGAGAGGAGGGGTGGGGCTGGGGTAGGTAGATGGGATGGCAAAAGGTGAGTGCATGTAGGCAGTGGTGGGGATTGGTCAGTGAGGTGGGAGGAGCGGATAGGTGGGAGGGAAGATGGACAGGTCAAGGAGGTGGGGATGAGAGGAAGCGTTGGTCATGGGATGAGGCTGGCGGTGGGGAGATTTTGAAACTGGTAAAGTCCACATTTAGGCCATTCGGCTGTAGGCTCCCAAGGCCTAATATGAGGTGCTGCTCCTCCAGTTTCCGGGTGGTGTCATGGTGACACTGGAGGAGGCTCAGGATGGACATGTCGTCCAGGGAGTGGGAGGGGGAGTTGAAATGGTTCGCGACTGGAAGGTGTTGTCATTTGTCACGAACAGAGCGCAGGTGCTCTACAAAACGGTCTCCAAGCCTCTGCTTGGTCTCATCGATGTAGAGGAGGCCACATTGGGAGCAGCAGATGTGGTAGACCACATTGGCTGATATCTGATGTGAAAGGTATGTTTGGTGCTTTGAATGGAGGTGAGAGGGGGAGGTGTAGGGGCAGGTTTAGCTCTTCCTGCGGTTGCAGGGGAAGGTGCTGGGGGTGGTGGGGCTAGTGGGGAGTGAGGAGCGGATGAGAGAGTCATGGAGAGAGCGATCCCTGTGGAAGGCAGATTGGGATGGGGAGGGAAATATATCCTTGGCTGTGGAGTCAGATTGCAGGTGGTGGAAGTGGCGGAGAATGATGCTTTGAATCCGGAGGTTAATGGAGTGATACGTGAGGACATACAACCAAAAAAACATTTCACATCAGACAGATGTTCACCTGCACATCTGCTAATGTGGTTTACTGCATCCGCTGTTCCTGATGTGGCCTCCTCTACATTGGTGAGACCAAGCGGAGGCTTGGAGACCACTTTGTAGAGCACCTACGCTCAGTTCACAACAAATGGCAACGCCTTCCGCTCGTGAACCATTTCAACTACCCCTCCCACTCCCTGGGTGACATGTCCATCCTGGGCCTCCTCCAGTGTCACAATGACACCACCCGGAAACTGGAGGAGCAGCACCTCATATTCCACCTTGGCAGCTTATAACCCAATGGTCTCAATGTGGACTTTACCAGTTTCAAAATCTCCCCACCCCCAGCCTCATCCCATAACCAACCCTCCCTCTCATTCCTGCCTCCTTGACCTGACACAACCTGTCCATCTTCTCTCCCACCTATCCGCTCCTCCCACCTCACTGACGAATCCCCACCACTGCCTACCTGCACTCACCTTTTGCCTTCCCATCTACCTACCCCAGCCCCACCCCTCCTCTTTTTATTTCAGAGCTCCCTTTCCCACCCCCCATTTCTGAGGAAGGGTCCTGACCCAAAACGTCAACTTTCCTGCTCCTCTGATGCTGCCTGGCCTGCTGTGCTCCTCCAGCTCCACACTGTGTCATCTCTGACTCCAGCATCGGCAGTTCTTACTATCTCAAAATACTAATGAATCTCCTTTCAGACTTCAAACAATCCTCGTGCAATTTACAAGTTTTTCAAAAGGATGTATTGAATATAATGAGAAGTTGGCAGAGTTATGATTTTCATTGATGATTATCTTTAAATTGTGCTAAGCTGTTTTTCAACTCTCGCGTTTGTCCGAATGAATAAACCCTAGGACAGGTGTGCATGAATGAGCTTTGTACTATGTATTTCAAACATCTCTCTTCATTTGCTTGCTTGCATCAGAAATCAAATAGATGTGAAGCATTCTGATTGAAATGGATAATTGGCAGTGACTTGTTAATTTCCAAGTGCTCCTTCATTTTCTTTAATTTCCATCACTGCCATCTCTCCCTTCAAGGTTTTTGTACTAAAATGACATAGAATTGTCAGTGTCGGTGACTCCCTGGTATCTTATCCAAATTGCTATTTCTATATGTGAGTCTTGGCAGTGAATGCGATCAGGTAACCCTCCTCTGAAAGACAGCATAGCTGTCATATATTTCTTGTAGGGGTTCTTCCTTCATATTGTAATCAGGGTGAAAATCCCAGCCAATCTTTCTTGCCCAGAATCAGGAAATCCTTGGCCAGTTTTACCCAACCTATTGCACTGTTTGAGGTCAGCGAATACAGCTTCGAGGAATGATTGAAGCTGTTTGTGCTACAAATGTAACTGTTTCAGGTCTGTGTGCTATGAAATCCCATTGTAAGGAGAAATGATTGTTGTGTGTTCTCCTCTTCTTGCTTTTTCCCATGGCACCTATTTACCCGATCTATGGACAGATAGCAAAGTGAATCTAAAAATCTTGCCATATTCCAGCCAACAGTTAATTTGATTCCATAAATAAACAGTACAAAATTGTGTTAATGAAGAAGCAAGCACTAATATGTTCCTGGATACA